AATTAAAACCTCAGTCCAAAGTATATCTGTAATTGTAATTGTATCTGTAATTGTAATTGCATCTGTAATTGTAATTGTATCTGTAATTGTATCTGAATGTGTATGTGGAATATGTTTATGTATGTGTATGAGTAAGAAAATGTGTATATGTACTGTTACATATTTCATGCGCCCCACGTTTTTCGTTTTTCAAATTTTTATTTTTTAATTATTATTCTCTACTACAAAAACATGGTTTTTAAAAATATTATTTTTTATTTAGATTTTTTTTGCACTCACTTCCAAAATCTCAATTTTTTCACTCACTATACACAAAACTTTTCAACTGACATGTGACACTCATTTGAAATAATTAAATCGACAACAAAAGACTATCGCAAAAATACTAATTTTTCTTTAAGTTAATTTTACTTTGTATGTCTTTTTTCTCTTCATTTTCATGCATTGTCATCCAATTCTGAACTTTGTGCCAAATTTGAAGTCTGTAGCTAGTCGGGAAAATAGTTTAAAATCGGTTACAAAATCCCCCCCCCCCCCTGGCACAGACATACACGGAGCCAAGTTAATATAAACGTGGTAAAAATAAATAAAATTTAAATATTTAAAAAACGACAACAATAAAATGGCCTTTTTAGAAGGGAGCTTTACAGTTTTCAACTGACCTAAAACTTATTTTTTGCAGTTTTTTATTGTATAAAGAAAATTTTCTTTCATGTGTAATGCTTTTATTAAATGCCAATGACAAGAGTGTAGTGGTTTCAATTATTTAACGAGCGATTTTACAATTTCAATCCCTCTGGTCAATATCAATTTTCACCACTGAAATCCACTATTCAAGTTATATTTACCATTCAATTAATTCACAAATATAATGTTGTTACTAAAAATGCTATTTTGTGAACAATGACTTATAAGTAACACAGGGTGAGTAGCCAAATCTTTCAATAAAAAATAAGCACCTTTTAAGTAATTTTTAAGCACTGAAGAAATATTTTTAAGCACTACATTCATTAACAAAATGCAAAATAATTTTTAGACTTTACATGATCATGATAAAATAACTAGTTTCTGACAAAGAACTCTTTTCTCGATTGTATTAGCCATTATAAAAAAATGAAGAGGTTTTTTGGTTTGATATCAGAAGGTGAAAAAAGATGCCTGAATTTGAGAATATCTTGCAAAATGCAGCAGAGTTGCACATGAGAGTGCAAGAATCTCACCAAACCCAGCTCAGTAAACTTCCCAGCATTTAATCAAATATGTAAAATGATTGGCGCTTTCATACGCTATGGACCGACGGGAAGCAGAAATAGATTGTGATAGAATGAATTGTGAAAAGATTGATTAGAACAATGTGAAAAGCACGCCTTTGCATAATGTGTGGTGATAATCGACACGGTTAAGAAAGAAATCTGATTTTCGAAAAGGGAAAATTGAGCACTTTTAAAAACAGCCAATAAAAAAAGCCCCTTTAAGCACTTTTTAAAAACGCTATGTACCATAAAACAGAACACAAGTAAATACTAAAAGTAACGCCAAATAAAAAAAAATTATTTATATATATTTCAAACAACCAAAAATACATAATTAATGCTTTAATTATTAATTTTCACAAGTTCTTTTAAATAATTTAAGTTAAATTTGAGAAACAATTACACCTAAGTTTAGCTTTGGTCTCTAAACTTAGAGAGTTTCATAATTTATTTCGGATTATTCAAAATGTAAGAAATTGATTTAAAAAAAAAAGACTTCAGTTCATTCAATGTAAAATATGAAATTATTAACACTTTTAATCTTCTTCATTAGCACCAGGCATCAGACATTTTTAGATTTAAAAAAAAAACTATGGATATACTGAGAATTCTGTCAATGTATAATTATTTTAACTGTAACTCTTTCTTCTAATTTTTGTTTCTTTTTTTTGGGGGGAGGGGGGGGGAGGGTTGGCAAATTTCCAAGTGGAAGAAATCTAAGAAACTCTCTTGCAAAATGAAATATAAAATATTAAGGTTTTTTTAAACAATTTGTAACTGCAATCTAATGTAAGTGGCAACAAAAATGTGACAATTTCAAAAGAACATTTTTTTTAGGAATATCTTAGGAAATTAAAGTGACTGTAAATTTTCAATATTTTATGTAAATGAGTATAGTAAACCCCGATTTTATAATTATATAAAGAACAGTTAAAATTACATAATCAAATATTAAATTAACAAATCACTTACTAAACATAAACACTGTAATAAACACTCATTAAATTCCCGATACAAATTTTTAAAATTCTGTATAAAAGTAAGAAGAAGAAAAATAAAAATACTTTTTTAAAAATTTTTTTTTATAGATGGGAAAAAATTTAAATTTTCTGATACTATATTAAATTACAGTCGGACCTCCATTTAACGAAGTCGCTAAATCCCGATAACAATTTTGTTATATGGAAAATTCGTTAAACAGAAAATCACTTTTTGAAATACCTCAATAAAACAAAACATGTTTTAAAATCGTAAACACTAGACATAATTAAAATAACAATCGATACACCCTTATCTAGTATCTACTATTTATTTTATAAATCTTAACCATAAAAGAAATCTGCATGAAAAGCAAGAATAGAGCAAACCATTATCCAGTGTTACACTATCCTGCTACATTAATTTTCAACTGAAAAAAGCTAAATCTATGTACAAAATTATTGCTGCTTTTATTATAAAAGTAATTTTAAACATACATTATCATATGCTTTCTTAAGTTTAATTGCTACTGGTAAAATCCGTTAATTTTGTCTGAGTTTTTCGTTTGAAATACAAGTAAAAAGGGAAAGGGATTTTACTACTTTCTCTAAAAGTTAATTGACTTCGAAAATCAATTCAAGGCCATTTCCCCCATAAATTGCGTTAACAATTTTGAAATGTTCTGAAGTATTTTAGAAAATAAGGAAAGTGAATCTCAAAGAAAAGTTCGTTAAATAGAAAATTCACTTCGCTATTTGGAAGTTACTTTACGAAGAAATTTCCAAAATGTACTTGGTTCCTCGAAAAAAATCGCAAAATAGAGAAATTCGCAAAATGGAAGTTCGTTAAATAGAGGTTTGACTGTAATTTGTTGAAATTTACTCTTATAATATTTATAACTAAACAATTCTATTAGTCATTTTTAATTTCTTCTATTTTGTCCAATTACTTTCTTTTATATGAAACCCTGATTTTATTATTTATACCCTAAATAGTATACATTTTTTTTGTGATTTTGGTTTTGTTTAACTCTTTATGAAGAAGTAAACGAGCTTCATAATTTTTTAAATCTCGATGGGAAGCGATTTTCAACTACTTATAATTTCAGAAAATTACAAATAGTACATTACAAACAGTAAATCATCAAAATAGTCATCTCCACATAAAAAAGAAATTATCTTAAATTTCAACACTGGGAAGCTTGTTTGTTTATTTGATCATTTAAAGTTTATGTGTGTAGTAGTTATAAACACAGACGTCAATTCTTCACAGTAGGTAAAAATTTGGAAAATTTCCACCTATTACCTTCCCATAAAAAACCTGGTCTTAAAAATTAAATTTATTTTAGGTAAAGATATATAAATATCTACACACACAGTCGGACTTCTATTTAACGAACTTTCATTTTGCAAATTTCTCTACTTTGCGAATTTTTTCAAGGAACCAAGAACATTTTGGAAATTTCTTCGTAAAATAACTTCCAAATAGGGAAGTGAATTTTCTATTTAATGAACTTTTCTTTGAGATCCACTTTCCCTATTTTCCAAAATATTTCAAACTTGTTAACGCATTTTATGGGGGAAATGACCTTGAATTAATCTTCGAAGTCACCGCTTTATGCAATGCTTTAGTGCTTCCTCTAAAAGTTATTTTAGAGAAAGCAGTAAAATCCCTTTTTATTTGCATTTCAAATTAAAACCTCAGTCCAAATTAACAGATTTTATCAGTAGCAATTAAACTTTAGAGGGCATGCGATGTATGTCTAAAATTACTTTTATGATAAATGCCCTATAATTTTAGACATAAATTTAGCTTTTTTTTTGGTTAAAAATGTATGTAGCATGATAGCGCAACACTAGATAATGTTTTTCTCTATTGCTTTCCATACAGAAAATACTTTTATGGTTAAGATTTATAAAATAAATTGTAGATACTAGTTTACAAGATAAAAGTGCATCAATTGCTATTTTAATAATTTCTGGTGTTTATGAATTTAAAACCTGTTTCGCGTTATTCAAATATTTTAAAAGGTGATTTTTTACTTAACGAATCTTCCATAAAACGAACTTATTATCGGGATTTAGCAACTTTGTTAAATAGAGGTTCGACTGTATATATATATATATATTNTATATATATATATATTACTCTAGAAGTTTTCCTCACTTTGATAAAAATTAATAGAAACTGGCTCTGCATTTGTCCCAGACATATTTTACACTGAAAAAAATTTAGAAGAAACAAAAAACTTTAAAAAAAAAGTTTTGTTTTTTTTCTTTTTAAAGAAGTGAGGTGATTGATTTTTTTTTTACCTGAACAACTGAGGGGGGGGGCTCAGGCATAAGGAACCCAATTGCTGCCATCCTCAGGAGTGAGATTTCCCGTGACTAGAAGGACTATGTCCACTATCCACCAGATGCCCACCCCTCCCAGAGTGAGCAGTTTGCCCACAGCTGTTCCAGTGTGTCCAAGGCAGAATCTGTCCATCCCCAGGAATCCAAGAAGCACAGAGTACAAGAGGGTGGTCAGAAAGTAATGGCCAGAATACCTTTAAAAAAAAAGAAGACATTACTGGAATGCAGAGTGACGTATGAGAATCCAAGTAAATAATTGAAACGTAGCAAATAACTGTGTGAGAACCTGAAAAAAGGGAAAAAACTATCTTAGCTGATTAAGCCATAGATGTTTTTTTATTTTTTCTAGAAACTGTTACAGCAGATATAATAAAAACGCTTAAATAAAACTTTTAAAAATCAGTCATACTTGGGAAAAATATCATTTTATTTAAAAGAAATAATAAATTATTTAATTTCTCTATTATTGATTTAAAATAAAAGACAATTCAGATATTGTAATAAAAGGTAATTTTATTTACTGAAGGTAGTCTTATATTTTATAGTGTTATTTACTGTTTTCTACTCTATATAAAAAGCATATAACTCAATTATATATCAATTATTATCAATAATGTTCCTAGTTGTACTATTCTCATATTGACCTTTTAATTAAATTTACAATATTACATTTTAATTGAATATTTCTTTAAAATAAAATAATCTTGTGATTTGCTTAAAAATACATCATGTAATTTGTGTTAAATGGTTTTTTAGTGATGAGTTTTGTCAATATAAAAATTAATTTAAGTATAAGAAAAAGAAACTACAAACATTTATCCCTACTTTTTATATTTTAGTTCAATAAATAACATTTTATTCATCGATATATTTATATAAAATAATAAGGGAGATAAATTTTAGGAATGCTAAATCTCTCAACCATTATTCTATACTTATACTAATTAGGAGTAAAAGATCTTTAATACAGATATAATTTATTTCAATAATTATTTATTTTCATGATTTTTGTTAAATGCATTTTCACGTTATATGTCCTAATCAAACTAAAGTTTATAACTTTAATTTATTAACAAAAAAAAAATTTACATTGAAAACAATTAATGATGCACATTTAATTAACAAATATATTTAATTAATATTCCTTTTTCATTTCGGTAAGAATTATTAAAATTCAGATTAGGAATATAATGATAAAACTAATTATATATCCTATTATTTAACCTAAGAAATAAAATATCTAAATCCTTGCTTAGAGTAATTCAATGAGTTAAGCATTTAATTTTTAATGGAGAACAAAACATAGTTTTTTTTTTTCTCAGAGCAGTTTTTCCCACAGAGAAAAAAACTTCAAGCATTATTCTATACTTATACTAATTAGGAGTTAAAGATCTTTAATGCAAATATAATTTATTTCAATAATTATTTATTTTCATGATTTTGTAACATGCGTTTTCACTTCATACGTCCTAATCAGACTAAAGTTTATAACTTTTAATTTATTAAAAACATTATTTTAAATTGAAAACAATCAATGATACATATTTAATTAACAAAAATATTTAATTAATATTCTTTTTTCATTTCTGTAAGAATTATTAAAATTCAAATTAGGAATGTAATGATAAAATAAATTATATATCTTATTATTTAACCTAAGGAATAAAATATATAAATCTTTGCTTTAATTCTTTCTCAAACTCGAAACAAAATGAAAAGGGAAAAAAAATTCTAAAAAGTTATCCATACTTGATGCATGGAAATCCTTCTTTTAAGAAAGTTCTGTCCCCATAGCACTCGATTCCCGACAGAACGGTGCAATTCGCAGCAGTAAACTGAACATCTTCATACTTCTGTCCTCCATACTAGAAACAAAAAAAATGAGTTTTTAAAAAAACAAAATTAAATAAATAAATAAAAAACTACCTAGAACAGGGCGCATATCCAAATTATTCAACAAAAAATAAGCACCTTTTAAGCACTCAAAAAATATTTTTAAGCAACTTAAAAAAATATAATTAGGCAGGGGTGGAAAGTTTTCGACAATTGACGGTTTTATCTTGTTTTAACCGTCATGTAAAAAAAAACCTCTTCGCAATGTTTTTGACAATTGTCAAAAATCATGAAATTTTTAATCTTGTAAAACGAATGGCGTTTTCATACACTACGGAATGACAATACGCCAAAATAGATTGGGGTTGAATTACTTATGAAAACGTTGAATAGAATAATGTGAACTGTGTCTTTTTGTATAATTCGAAGCGAAAATCAACATAGTAAAAGTAAAAGAAAAATCTCGTTTCGAAAAAGGGAAAATTAAGCACTTTTTAAAAACACCTAATGAACACCTAATTTAAAAAACGAAAATAAGCACCTTTAAGCACTTTTTAAAAACGCTGCACACCCTGTATAAATGATCTGAATTTTGACAATATAGAAAATTGATCATTTCGCCAAAATAAAGCAATATAAAGATTCTGAAATAGAAGTGAAAAGAGTTATTATTCAGCTATTACTGAAGAATATTCTTCAATAATTTAACACTAAACATAGCATAACCATTCGAATGACTGTTTAAGAACTTTTGCATCGAAAATGCGCTTATCATTTTTGCACATTTGACTTTTTATTACAATTATATACAGTTAATGTTCTATTATTATTTTTCTTTTTATGTATTTTCTTTATTTCGAATATTACTTGTCGTACTATACCTATTTCTACCACAACCGGTCATTTGATTGGGAGAACAAGTTAATGCTTTATTAGATTATCGGATCAGAATTTATGATGTAATGCGCATTCAACCGTTGTAGTCGATCAGTTGCACATTTCTGCAGAGACTGTTGTACAGTTAGTTCCATCAGAATAACTGTGAATTCAAATTTTCAACAAAGTACCCAAAATTTTAGATTTGCATTTTTATGTCAGAAAAAGTGACAAAAAGTAATGTTTCGGTAAATAGCTTTTGATTTTGATAGCTTTACTTCATTTCCAACTAACTGTTAGTTTTTATCCAGTAAAATGTCGAAACAATCGAGATAGCACAAGTTCTTAGAAGAAATAATATTAATTATAAGAATAACTATAAGAATTAAAGAAATAATAATAATTAGAAGAAATATGTTTACGGAAAATGTACAATGGAAACACCCTGTATATGTAAAAAATGCGTTGAGCAATGAACTAAAAATTTTTATTCTTTGTGTTTTTAATGCATAAAAATTGGCAATACACAATTTTGTTTAGTTATAATAGTTTTTTTTAGTTTATTTCCTTCATAACATCCATATTCCATACATTTAATCAAGAAACATAAAGTCTAGTCATTGCAATATCTGGCAATGGTAGAAATAGGTATATATTAAGTGTTGGTATGCTTAGTGTTAATGAAATCTGTTAAACAAAGGTCAAAGACCAGAGAAGTTTTCGCAGGAGAGTGTCAATTCCGAGTTTCACATAAAATTATCTTGCCATCCATCGACACCCTTACATGCCAAAAATGAAGGCCAAAAAGGGTTCCAGAAATGAAAAGTGATTAGAATAGGCAAATGAATGAGCAGAGTAACTCAACATTAAATGATTTTATTGAAATACAGTTGAAATTTGAACCATTAAGATTGTGTCTCAATGTATGAAAATAAGACCATTAGATTAAAAGTTATTCAGAGTACACAATTTTTTCTGCACTTTACAAATAGGTTTAATGTTAAATTTCAATTGGTCCCTTTTGGGCAAATGCATATTCAGGGTATCTGCTACATGTAGATTTTCAAATTCATGATTTTCCATGATTAATTTCAAAAATGTTTCATGACTTAACGAAGTTACTAATTTCTCCGAGAAAAACACAACAATACATTTAAAAAAGCATTATAATGACATTCATTGAAATGACAAGTATAAACAAAACTGTTATACTCTGCATCTTCATATTTATAGATTTTAAATTTAAAAAACAGAGTAAAGAAAGAGATGAAGCAAGGAAATAGCTGGAAAAATACAAAAGCAAATAATTATTAATTTTTTCTGCAGAATTATATTCTAAAGATACTTTTTTTGTTCATCGGAAAGAAAGGAAATACTCTTGATTTTTCTGTTCTCATTTCTGAATATAAAAAAAAATTTGACAATGACTGGCTTGCTTCAGCTAGAATTTTAAATTGATAAAATAAAAATAAATAAATAAATAAAATAATTCTGAAATCACAGAAGTTTGAAAGATAATTTGTTCCAGAAAGGTTTTTCTCTCATTTTTTGAAAGAACACCATAATTTTTAAAGAACATGATAAAAACATTTTATATTGTAATAAAATAGGACTGTGAGTGGGGATTTTGTTACAAATTCAAATATTTGGAAAACCAAAAAATTGGAGGGGGTAATTCCATTTTAAAAATAAAATTTTTTGGTGACCTAAATCCATGACTTTACATGATTTTTTTTAAAAAAAATAGTTAAAATCATGACAAAATTTTGTTTAATACCAAAATTGTGACTTTCCATCATTTTTCATGACTTTCCAGGTGCGCAGATACCCTGTATATTGCCGGTTACTGGTTCAAAGAACCCAAAACTTTTTTTAGGTATCATTTTTAACGTTGTTTAGTATCCTTAAAAAATATTGTTTGTGCGCATTAAATTTTTTGGTATGGCAAATTAATAACGAAATAAAAGAATTGTTGCTAAAAACTTTTGTATCCTAAATATGCTAAGAAATTTTTCTAGAGAAAATGAGGGTCTCCCTTTCTAAACTTTACAGAGAGTCAAAATTCGCACATTATTACGTATAAACATACAAAAATTATCTTAAGCACTATTGTAAATGTATTCTAACAGACCTTTATTTTTTACGAAAAAATTTTTTTTCTCCTGTGAAACTTTTTCCTGTATGACCTAGTCGAAAATGTTCTCATAATGAAAATAACTTCTAGTGCTAGTACTGTTAAATGCATGTTTTTATTAAATTCAAATCGAAATGTAACTATGGACAATGATTTTTATGGAACTTTAAAATTGGATGCAATTTCAAGCTCACAATTTAACAACGGCAAAATTATCTTTTTTATATGGGGAAAAATATATAGATGATTTGATGTCATAAATAATTTTTATTTGAAGTCACAATTTTTGAAAATATTTTTGTACTTTACCATATTTTTGGGTTGAGTTTTTAATATAATTTTTTATTTTCACAAATTATGCCTAAATTTTTACAAAATAGGTACCTCACAAAAAAACCCAGACAGACACCTGAATATATATATTATAATGTATAAATTATATATTAATACATTTTGTACAGAACAAGGGGCCATCTGATGCACAAATAGTTAATTTGTAGTTCTTCAACAAACACTAGAATGATTCGCAATGAGTAATTGGGGTGGCAAAAGATTCAAGCACTGAGGACAAAATTATCACAAACATAGTAAAGAAAAGACACCTAAAGTTTCACTTATTGTAGAATAATTGTAAGTGTTATTGCTTTGCTTCTACCCTCTACGCGTTCACATGAATACTATTCTTTAGTATTATCTTTTCCTTTCAGGGGTCTGTCGAGACATTTTGTGAAAGGTTCGTTTTTGTAAAATTGTGAAAAAATGACTCATAATTTGTGAACATAAAATAAACGTTAAGTCACATTCTTTCAACCAGGGTCCGCTTTTGTGAATGTGTGCAAATAGGGTACGTTATTGCAAATAAACTTTTTCAAGGAGTTTTTAAATTGTTAAGACATACAAGATTATGCGCAACACTGTAAAATTATTATTAAAAAAATTAATTTTAAAAAATAAACAGCAATTGAAGCTACTTAATTAGTGATGCAACATACAAATATTTGGCATTTAGCCTATACTGCTGAACGCAGAATATTCATTTTGGACGAATAAAGAAAAGAGCGTCTGCCGAAGGCAAAATTTAGTTCGTTTACATCTGTCTTTCTTTCCCCTTCCTGGGAAGGGTTTATTCGATTAACAAAACAATAATGAAGATAAACAAATTTGTGAAGGGTTCAATTAAAAGATAAATTATTTTGTGAAGGGTCCGTTTTTATGAAAAGATATTTTGTGAAGGGTCCGTTAACGGACCCAAATTTCTTCTAAACAGACTCCTGCTTTGTAACTACATAGTAAGTATTTAGTCTTCTTTTTACAGTGCAAAAGATAAATGCCATGACAAAAAAGTGACATTGAAATTAAGACATTTTCTTCTTTTATTTAAACTTAGTATTCATGAAACGTAGGATTTCTTTACGAAAAAAATTCTTCTGCAATTTTTACTGAAGGAAAAGTCAGTAATTCCGCTGCACCTGGAGTTTAGGTGCGGTCCCATAATTAGAGCAATATACTTTTCTCAGGTCGTAATTCATTTGCCCGTTTTTTAGAATACACAAATAAAAATAACGATTCAAAAAAAAATCTTTTTTGGACTTTATATTAGTTGAAATCAAAGTTACGTGGCTAGAATGTCATACATTAAGTATTCATGATTATTTACATGACAATAATTGTTCTGCAACAATACTATCTTGCCCAGGATTATAACAAATATAATCGCTTATAGTTAGCATATACAGGTGATTTTGTTCTTTCAGATCCAATAACAAAATTATAATTCAGTAGGAACGAAGCAGTTTAGTAAACTAAGCTACAATATTATTTGATGAAAACTGTTGCACTTTTCTTCAAAGCGGTGGACCCTAATTTCTTTTCTACAATTCATCTTCATTATGCTTGCAGTTCTACAAAATCAAAAACGAAAAAATCTATGTTTTTCTTATAGAGGTCAAAATGATCCCTTCTGGCTGTTTTAGGTAATTCCCTAATTATTTATTTTACTAATCAACAGAAGGAAATGAAATTTTGATAGAGCGCACTTAAATATAATTTACAGGGTATCTGCTACATTTTAGATTTTCTAATTCATGACTTTTCATGATTTTCCATGACTAATTCCAAGAATTTTTCATGACTTGACGAAGTAACTATTTTCTCCCGACAAAAACGCAACAATAAATTTAAAAAAGCATTATAATAACATTCAATGAAATGATAGGTATAACCAAAACTCCTCTCTTGATTAGGAATCATATCAGTATCTGAAACACAAATTACTACATTTTACTTTATTTTGTTTTATAACCGTCATTGAGCAGCCAGGTTCACGACGCAGGGTATCTGCCACATTTTAGATTTTCAAATTCGTGACTTTTCATGTCTAATTCCAAGAACTTTTCATGACTTAAAGAAGTTACCATTTTTTCCGACAAAAACCCAACAATAAATTTAAAAATGCATCATAATAACATTCATTGAAATGATAAGTATAACCAAAACTGTTATATTCTGCATCTTCATATTTATTGATTTTAAATTTAAAAAACAGAGTAAAGAAATAGTTGAAGCAAATAATAACAGAGCAAATAATTTTTTTTCTTTTTTTCTGCAGAATTATATTCTATAGATACATCCCAAGTGCCCGCCATAAAAAAAATTAAAAAAATATTTCATAGATATTTTTCTTGTTCATCAAAAAGGGAAGAAATACTCCTGATTTTTCTGTTCTCATTTTGGAATTAAAAAAATTTGCCAATGACTGGCTTGCTTCAGCTAGAATTTTAAATTGATAAAACAAAAAAAAGATGAATAATAATTCGGAAATCACATAAGTTTAAAGATACTTCGCTCCAGAAATAATGTTTCTTCTTTCATTTTTCGAAAGAACAGCATAATTTTTAAAGAAAATTATAAAAACCATTATATTTTAATGAAATATGACTGTGAGTGGGGATTTTGTTACAAATTCAGATATTCAGAACACCATAAAATTGGGGAAGGATTCCATTTTAAAAATAAAATTTTTCGCCGACCAAAATCCATGACTTTCCATGATTTTTAAAAAAAAATAGTCAAATTAATGACAAATTTTGTTCAATACCGAAATTCATGACTTTCCAGGTGCACGGATACCCTGAATTTAGGAAAAGTAAAAATATATGAGCTTTGAAACTCACATGTATCTTCAAAAATAACATAAGAAATGGCAAGAAACAATCAAATTTACCTCAACTAGTGTTGATCATACAAATATCAGTATTATGCTTTCCTTGTTGTATTTATTTTAAAATTCATCTGAGTACTATTAAATTAGAAAGATGTTTCGTAAGTCAGTTTATTTTTTTTTTCTTTCTTATACCACACTAAATGAGATGAAAAGATGTTTTAAGAAATTGATTGAAGGAACATATATATTAATTATTATATGTTATATATAACAGTTGGGCTGAAAAGTTCGTAGGCTGACACATAGATGGGGCTACTATTATTTAATACATATGATTTTTAGTTAGTTCTAACCTCTGAAAGACACGTGTTTAAATTTGACAGCTGTCGGACTATTAGTTTGTGAGATATAGTATTTTTAGTGATGCAACTTCTGTTAGTTTAAAAACAATGGATAAAAAGGAATTTTGTATGTTTTTAAAGCATTGCTTTTTAGCGAAAAAAAATACTCTTGAAGCCAAGGCTTGGCTTGGGAAACATTATTCGGACTCTGTACCAGGAAAATCAACCATTGAGAAGTGGTTTGGTAAGTTTAAACGAGGCGAAATGAGCACCGACGACGATGCACACAGTAGTCGCCCCAAAGAGGCTGTTACCGACGAAAACATCAAACAAGTCCACAAATTAATTTTAGATTACTGTAAAGTGAAGTTGATCAAAATATCCGAGACTCTAAAGATATCAAAGGAACATGTTGAATATATCGTGAATGAATATTNAACATTATTCGGACTCTGTACCAGGAAAATCAACCATTGAGAAGTGGTTTGGTAAGTTTAAACGAGGCGAAATGAGCACCGACGACGATGCACACAGTAGTCGCCCCAAAGAGGCTGTTACCGACGAAAACATCAAACAAGTCCACAAATTAATTTTAGATTACTGCAAAGTGAAGTTGATCAAAATATCCGAGACTCTAAAGATATCAAAGGAACGTGTTGAACATATTGTGAATGAATATTTGGGTATGCGAAAGCTCTAGGCAAAGTGGGCGCCGCACGAGCTCCCAATTGGACAAAAACAACAACAAATTGATGAGTCTGAGCTGTGTTTGAAGCTGTTTAATCGCAATAAACCCGAATTTAGGCAACAATACGGGACAATGGGTGAAACATGGCTCCATAATTTCACACCGGAGTCCAACCAACCGTCAGCCAAGTGACCTTCACGAGACGAACCAACTCCAAAGCATGGAAAGGCGCAACAGTCAGCTGGCAAAGTTATGCTATCAGTATTTTTGTTATCAGTATATTAATTATTATCTTATGTATATAAATATAATCTTCTTTAACAGCACTACAGCATAGTGCAGGTCAAGGCTTTCTTAGCCTGCCTTCTCCAGACATTTCGACTTGCTGCTAGATTTCTACATCATTCCCAACACTTTTACGCCCTTCTCAATTATATATATGTATATATATTTCTAAAAAAATTATCTAATGCAAATAAATCGAATATATATATACATATACTAACTGTATCTAATAAATATAATTGTTATTCAGGGGTCCGTTTAGAAGAAATTTGGGTCTGTTAACGGACCCTTCACAAAATATCTTTTCATAAAAACGGACCCTTCACAAAATATTTTAACTTNAAAGTTAGATAACTTCGGACCCTTCACAAATTTGTTTATCTTCATTATTGTTTTGTTAATCGAATAAACCCTTGCCAGGAAGGGGGGGGGAGAAAGACAGATGTAAACAAACTAGTTTTGTTTTTGGCAGACGCTTCTTCCTTTATTTGTCCGAAATTAATATTCTGCGTTCAGCAGTATAGGCTAAATACCAAATACTTGTTTTTTTTTATCTCTAATTTAGTAGCAGCAATTGCTGTTTATTTTTTTAAATTTTATTTTTTTTATTGTAATTTTACAGTGTTGAACAAAATCTTGTATGTCTTTACAATTTCAGGGGTGATTGTGAGCCCAAGTCAAAATTCCGGAAAATTTCTTGAGTAAAAAAAAGTTTAAATCGAAAAAATAGAAAAAAATTTAAACAAGGTTTTTTCCTTTTTCTCAATATTTCTAAGTTTACTTAAAATATATTTAAAATTTTACTCATACCTATACCATTTACACATACCCATGTCGACCTGGAGAAGTAATTGAAATTTACAAATATGTCTTTGTTTCTTGAGTTTATGATTATAAGAACTATTTACTAATAAAAAATGAATATTAATCTTGAATATAAGCTTACAAAGTATCTGGCTCTCTCTTACAAATAAAATAAACTGTGTTTTTAAGCTCCACCTTTGAAAATTTGATTTCTGGAAACTTTTGTGATCAATGATTTTTTGAAACGTCTGAACCTTCGATCTCAGGAAACTTCCGGATCATAGTTAGCTAAAAATCCGGAAATCCGGATTTTTTCAGGAGCACAATCAGCCCTGCAATTTAAAAACTCATTGCAAAAGTTTCGCGTAGTAACAGGACACTATTTGCACAAATTCACAAAAGCAGGAACCTGGTTGAAAGAATGTGACTTAACGTGTATTTTAAATTTACAAATTACTAGTAATTTTTTTTCACAATTTTATAAAAACGGACCTTTCACAAAATGTCTCTACAGATCCCTGTTATTAGATATATATATTTGAAAAAAAAATCAATAACTGCTGTGGAATACATTTTGTAGCATAACTTTCAATCAATATGGTAGTACAATACTTCTGAAAACATACTTTTGTGCAACCGTACCCGAGTTCCTCCCTGGCAGTTTCGTTTCCCTTCAAATCAATCGGATCAGAACACACAAGAAACTCAATACCTCTGAAAGAAAAACATTATAATTACTATACATACATGCATTTTTTTTAAAAATTTATAAGTATTTTAAAAAAAAAATTTATAATTTTTTTTGCCCCTTGTTTTCTATATATTCCATATATATATAAGTTCAAAATGTAGAGAAAACTAGGGAAAAATTACAGAACAATGAAAAAAGGGGGAAAAAAAGAAAAATAATAATCCTTGTGGCAGAATTTTTTCGAGCAATCTGTAACAAAACTCTTAATCACTATTATCTTTCTGCAAGATACTTTTAATAACAAACATATATGTTACTTGTTACAAATCTAAAATAACAAAAGCGCTGCGTTTACAAGAAAAAAAACCCTATTTTTTTAATAAAACACGTAATAATCTTTTTTTCTAACATTTTGTGGGGGGGGAACACAAATTCTTTCCTTCTTCGCATTTTGTAAATAATTATTACAATAAATAATACAATTAAAAATCATGAAATCCATTGCTGTAATTGTCGAAAAAAAGATCGACGTTGAAATCACGCTCCTGAAATGCGCGTTTAGTTTCGAGATTACGTTGTTGTAATAAATAATATTGCATTAAAAATATTGGATTCAAAAACTATGGAAAAATTAATAGCAATAACTGCCAAAAGTTCAATGGACTTAAAAAGTAAATATTCAAATGCACGATTCGAATTATATTGGGATAATTAAAATCCACGTGAAAATCAATATCAATAACTGCCGAAAATACAATCGTTACATCAATTAACGATTCTATAATCGAAAATTGAGCATGTCAAAAAGTGATTATCTAAACGCATGATTCAAATATTATGTGTCAATATCTGTAGGAAAAAAATACTTTTTTTCCCTTTTCAAAAGAAAAATCTTTCTGCAAGAACTCTGTAACGTTCTGCGACAATGTCATCGTGTCGCTGCGATTCTGCCACGGGGATAATAAGTAACAAAACACTGGAAAAAAAGGACAAAACATTTTCAAAAATCCGGAAAATGAAAGATATAATCTTTTCATCAGCTCACACGATTATATCCGTAAAAAAAGAGCGCTTTCTAATATTGCATCAATATAGCCTAAGCAAAATATATCAATACAATAGTGAGAAGAGCACTCAAAAAATTTCACAAAAAAATTACAACAAATAAAATAGAACACAGTAAGTAAAAATATATCACGTAAAAACAGAAAATAAAATATAAAGAAAAAACAGAATAGAACATGAAATGAAATCCATAAAGTGAGCAGCGAATTCAAATGAACTTACATGAACGGGAAATTTTTCAAGAATGATTTAAAATATTTTTGTAACGAGATTGCCAGATTGCAAAAAAAATGAAAACAAAAGCGTAAATTGAGCTAAAAGCGTAGAAAATTGTTTTTCTAATTTTCTTCATGCTTTTTTGTTTTTATTTATTATGCTATATATATATATACATACACCGAAGAGCCATTACATAGAAGCCCATAATCCTCATAGAACAATCCCTGACGTCTGTAAGCTACTTGAACATAGTTGCAGACCAGGTTCACCCATTCAGGGCAACAGTTTTTCCTGCGGGGGATGGTGCTTACCAACAGGATAATGCACCATGTTATAAGGGTCGAATAGTCATGGATTGGTTTGAGGAACATTCCAGTGACTTTCAAGTCCTGTCTTGGCCCCCAAACTCACCTGACTTTAATCCAATAGAGCATTTGTGGTCCTACTTGGAAAACCAAATTTGTGCTGACACGCTACCCCCTTGCAATGTGAGGAAATTGCAGGACCAGTTGGTTAGCGCTTGGTACCAGATACCTCAGACTACCTATCAGCACCTTGTGGAATCAATGCCAAAGTGCTAGCAGTTTTGAGGGCTAAAGGTGGTCCTACATGTTATTAGCAGGGTG